CATGTTTAGCCGATCCTCGTACCGACATTAGCACTACTGCTTAAGTGAAGACTTGGGTTATCGACTTTCACTACCCGAACAAGACGAATGGAAATGTATTGTAAAATAACGTACTGGATCTGGGTAAGTGCATACGAAGCTTGTAAAAGTTAGTAAAGAATCCCAGGTTTGCCGGAAGCTTGGAATTTCCGCAGTATGCTATGTAAAATTATATTAATTTGGAAAAACTTTCGCAAGCAATTTATACCTCTTTGAGGTCATGAATGATGTCAATTTCGTTAGGTGTGACCACGTTACAAATGAATGCTAATTTTTTCAATTGGACAGTAATTACAGCATGTTTTAAGTATTTATCGATGAATTTCCTAAGCACAGCTTCTTACTTTTCATACAAAAATTTATAAAATAAATCAAATAAAGTAGAACCTAAATGGAATGTACTTAATATCGATGAGGAGGGATTACTGCAAGTTATTTTAAGTTTTAAATAACTTTCTACCGCTTTGTAGTGCTTTTAACTCTTCTTCTTTCCAACGCTATATTAAAAAACCTTTTACAAATTCAATTCTTATTAAATAATCTGCAAAAACTTTTGTTAAAAATTTCGCCTGAGGTGTAAATTTGTTACGCTTTAAACTGAACTTTAAGTTATGCTAATGACAACAACAACAAAAACGAAAGCAACAAAAACGGATTATGGGCAATATTTGACCTTTAGCGCTTGCATTTCTTGAATTCAGCCAATTTCGTTTGCTCGCATGTTCATTAGCCTCGAAATCACTGCCATTCCTCGGGCAAAATGTACTGTAAAATCTCTAAATTGCGCACATTTTTTACATTACCGTTATGCCTATGGCATTTTATATAGACTTTTTGTTTGTTTTGTTTTGCATTAGAATATTCATTTTTTTTTTGTTTTAGCGATTTTTCCCAAGTATTTTTTCTTTCTTTCTTTTTTTTTGCCTTCCACCAACGTCAGCATTCGCATTAAGCGACCTTTTCTCGCTCGACTGCATTGCGTTTTGGGTTTTTGGGAAATTTTGCTGGCGTTGAACATTTCGGATCTCACCACATTGTGCGGCCTTTACCGGGCATTACTTTGCCGTTTGCGCGGTTGTTTTCTTTTTCTTACCTACTCACGCTGATAAGCATAATTTTCGAATGTAAACGTCATTAATTTAGCCGAGCGGTCGCCGCTGGCTGAACGCCCAACCATAAGGCAAAATGTAACAAAAGGAGAATAAAAAAAAGTTAAAGAAAAATCCAAATGAAAAAAATACAATAAAATCAAAGTCAACGTTTAAGATGCGCGCTGCGCGTGGAAAAGTCTTCTGTAGAGCAGTAATCATTTTCTTAATTTTTTGTTTGTTTTTTTTTTCACTTTTTCCGAGAAGTTTGCGGAAAAAATTCCCGGTATTATATCTAATATCGCCTTAAGCGCTTATCAAGCGTAATTGCGCGCGAAAATATGGTGCTGATGAGGGGTGGCTCCGCTGGCGTTGCGGCAGAGGGAAGATTTCAATTTCGTGTGCAATGGCAATTTGTATTATTTCCAAACTAAGTGATTAATGAGAAGCTGCAAAGCTGGATTGACCGCCATTTAAAGGAAACATTTGACTGGTCAAAAACGAAGAAAGATACAGAATAGTGGCCATACAAGGCAGCGCAAATTTGCGGCAATTAAGGCAATTAAACGCGTCTACACAAAGGCAAGTGAGTAATTAACAGACTTTCGCGGGAATATCTTTTGGGTCACAGATCATATGGATGTAGAATTCAATGAAATGGCGGAAGAGCTAGCAAGCGTAGACGAGGCTGTCAACATCGACTGTCTCAGGCCCTTCCAATGTTTTTAAAATCTATCAGCCACAAAGGAGCACTTCAGATCTAAGAAATCTTCTAGCACTAGACGTACCTCTATGTCATTGAGGGACTGCATGGCTGGTAGCTAGACCAAACTGTAAGTTGCATCAAACAAAAGAGAACTTCGCATTATCATTTGGACAATATATATCAATTGAAAGCTGTACTTATCACAGAATGGTCCGACCTCATCAGTTAACATTAGTTTTTTGAAAACATTGATTGAATCGACGAAAATAAGATAATGCTGAGTGACGAGAGCTAATGGAGCATTTGTTGGTGATTTTTGAGTAACAGTATAAGACGGCAGGTCCCAGGGCCAATGTTTGCTGGGTTAATTTTAACGATCGCGAATAGTATCATATTACTCTGAAACAACCTAAGAGACGTTTCTTTCCTAAAAGAGCTTTATTTCATTATAAACCTGCTAAGTTCTTATTGCAATCTGTTTATTTTCTTCTAAACACAATTTTCCCGAAATATTACTTTCTTGAGGATATTTTAATTTTCTTTTTCTATGCAGAGCTCAGATTTCTAGTTTAACTGCTTCATAGTAGAGCACGTTTTGAGATAAAGAGTAGTTTTTAGAGCCGCGAATTTTTGAAAAAATTATAATAACAAACAATTTTAAAAAATGTTAAAAATATTTGTCAAAACGATCCAAAAAAGCTGTTGTTTTATAATTCTGAAACGCAAATTAGATCCTTCTTTTTTAGCTATAAAATTGCTTACGTCTGGCTAATTTATTTGGTACACAGTTCATAATTTATTTATATTTTCAAGAGAAGAAAATTATATAAAAATATTTAATCTATGGCACTTCGATGCCAGCTTGTGCAGCTGTTAAAAAAAATTTGAAACAAAATATATTTTTTTTTTTTGCTTTTATCATAAAAAATCAATTACAAATTCAAACATCATTTTTTATTACTTGTGAATTTTTAGTTTAATGCCTTCTACGCTTGAAAGCCAAGTCCATTCGAAAGTCGTCAAGCACATAGCACTTTTCTTGACATGCCTCACACGCAAATTTATTACTTCGAAATGTTTGCATAACCAATAGAAGAGAAATGGCACAACAAAAACGGCGCTTGGACATGCGATAATTCGATGAAATAGAAAATTGTATGGCTAAAGTGACTAAAAAGGAATGGCACGAGATTACTATTAAAAAAAAAAACAAAAAAAAACATAAAAGCGAATAACGGAAATTAATAGGTCGGCTGAGGAGTGTGCCAAGGCAGTTGTTTATGGTTGAAAAGGAAGTCGAACTTTCCCATTTGTTTTTTCACTGACTTTTTAACAGTACCTTAAAGCTGTTATGTAAGCAATGCAATTTTTTTTATATATTTTTTCCTAATATTTGTTGTTGTTGCTTTTTAAATATTTTCACGCTTTTCATACGTACCTATGACGACATGGCGTATACGTGATTTTAGCTTACAGGCATGCTGCATTTGTGTGTGTGTTTACATAAATAAGCTTAGCTGTTGGTGTTGCCCACAGTTTGCGTGTCAAGCACATGTACATAATGGCTGATAGCCGGAAGAGCGTGCTGCTAGTGCTGCACGAAATGCTAAATAAAGTCGCTTAAAGTACAAAAACAAAAGGTGGGTCGAGCTAGCCTGGGTGGGCATGAGGTACGCGCATACCATATGCCTTTAAGCGCAAGAAACACACTTTATATGATGAGGTGAAAAATTAGTGCTTACTGTTGCCTATTTCAGTACTTCAAATAGTGCTTTTCATTAAAGTCCCCCCCCCCCTAACCGCGTTGTATCGACGTTTAAATATAATGTTTAAAGCAAACAAATTAGAGACTGACTGTGATGATTGCTCTAATGAATATGTTTATGTGTGTGTGTGCAAAGGAGTGTAGCTGCTGAAAATTTCTGTCTGTTACCAACTTTTCCACGCAAAAGTGATGTGCTGATAGTAAAGGAAACACCATATTTTCATATTGAGAGAAAGAAACTAAATTTCCATCGATCGAAAGCGCTCGTGTTATTCGCTCTCCAGACCTTATTTTAGCCAACCTGCCGTTTCCTTTAATCACCCCAAGGATAATTAAATTTAAATATACAACACTCTGAAAGTTCTTAAATACACGCGCTTTTTTCCTTTTGTCTTCTAGACTTGCGTGTGTGGGCTTAGGGTAGGGCAAATTGTTGTTCAAGCACTTTGATGCGAGAGGTGGCGAGTGTGTGGCTTTGCCAGCAAACTTTATGTTGGAAATTGTGGTAGTAGAAACATTGTCTTATAGCTACGCGCTCATTAAGGCAAATTGGCATGGGAAGTGACTTAACTGTTTTATTTTGTGTTATATTTTTCTATATTTATTTTTTTGGCTATTTTTTGGTTTTTATTTTTACTTTTTTTATTTGGAGACTTCCGACAAGCGCACTTCCCATATTTCGAGTAATGTCAACTACTTCCACCAACAAAGTAATCAATAAACACCAGGGTTACGTTTACCACCAACCAACTTTGACGAGCCTACAGCGTGTGGTGGTTTGCGGTACAGGAAGTACGCCAGTCAGACTGCTGACAATATCCTGCGTTGCGTGCCCAAATATTTACAGTAAATAAATGTTAATGACCATCTGCAAATTCCCTTTGTTCGGATTGGTAAATATTTGACTTTTAGACAGTCTGTGACAAAGTTTGCAATTGTTGGCGAAATGTCACTGACGGAAGTATAAGTGATGGTATAACTGATAAGCACTGGTCACAATTTAAGGGAAAAAACAGAGTTTTTTTCAATTATTTATTTTTGTACGAATCGTATATGGAATAGAAACGAAGAAAAAAATTAAATAAATAAAAATTAATTATAAAAAAACAACGATTTATATTTTATATAAAAAAATATTAAAAAGAATATGAAAAAAATGAATGTGTTTTTGTTTTTCCTACCCACCTAACATAAGTGTAATACCCTACCTACAATTCACCATTAATGTCCAAGCAGCACACTTAATATGAGTACACACCACTCATACGCCATGGTGTACTTGCCCACACAATTAGCATTTTAAATGTACTTCATATGTAAAGCAAAATTTTACGATATCTTTACTGCTCGAATTGTTTTAAGTTCAGAAAACTTACGAAAAAATTTTTACTTTCGCGCTTACCTTTATTTTAACTGCAAAGTTTACGAGCTGTAAAAAGAGTGGGAACAGAGAGATAAAGTGGAATTAATAATGACTCATAATGAAACTTGTTAATAAGAGCAGCTTTTGCACGAGCATATACACACATAAAGCTACACGTTAATAATATTTCGTAAAAATAAATCCAATAATCGTAATTAAAGGTATAAATTCAGGCGTAAAAGTGCTATTAAAAACTTGACGATCATCAAGAGTGGAGTATTTCAGAATCATTTGTTAACAGGACTTTTCTTGAGTGTCTGGGTTTTACTGCCGAAATGTACGCTAATTTTATATTTGATAAGCCATTTTGATTGGTAAATCAATAAAAATGTGACAAATAAAAACTTTGTATATGTTAATTGAGTAGCTTATTTTAATAAAGCACTTTTTGGATTTTATGTTAGTATTGAAGAAACTTTGCAAAAACAAAAATAAGCAGCATTAAATAAAAGTAATAGAAATATATCTAGAATAAATTCAATTTAAGAATGTCAAGTCCATTTGGCCACCTCAGAAATGAGGTTTCCCTTTCATCTAGTTGGCTATGCGCCAAATTTTGGGAAAAATCTTGGAAAAGACCTTAGAGAAGAGGATCGAAACAAACCACTTCCTCGTCCATTTTAAAGCTGCTTTCGACAGCATGAATGTAGCTGCCCCTACGCCGCAATGCCTGAGCTCGGTATCCCTCCAAAACTTCTACGGCTGTGTAAACTGACTTTAAGCATCACTGAAAGGTCCATCAGGATCGTCAAGGACATCTCCGAGCCGTGCGATACCAAACGAGATTCAAGGCAAGGCGAATCACTATCGTGTGACTTCTTTAATGGGATGCTGGAGAAAATAATACGAGCTGCAGAGCTGAATAGAGAAGGTAAAATCTTCTTTAAGAGTAGGCCGATGATATCGACATTACTGGCCTAAGCAACCACGCCGGTGAGTTCTGATTTCGCAAGACTAGGAAGGAAGCGAAGCGAATCGGTCTGGTAGCGAACGAGGGCAAGATGAAATATCTGCTGTCATCAAACAAACAGTCATCGTATTAGCCACTTGGCTCCCACGTCAATGTTGACAGTCATATCTTTGAAGTCGTAGATAATTTCCACTATCTTAGAACCGGTATTAACCCCAGCGACAACTACAAATGAAAACCACACTTTACAACTCGCTTGTCCTTCCTTCAGCGACTCAGGAGGCAGTAGCTACTTCAGCTTTAAAAGTTTTCGATACAGTTTCACTCCGTTGGCAATACTTGGTGGAGAAGAACCTGGCTATACCCAGTATTCAATCTACGCGAAAATCTACATATGAGCCGAGTTTTAAGTACATCAAACCATAATTAAGATTTTTTGGAAATATGATACAGTTTCGTAGAAGCTAAGTTGAACTGGCTGATCCATTGGGTTTCACACTTCATGCGATCAAGCAGTTCTGCCACACTCTTATTGTATCTCTAGTGTGAAGAACATTGCAATCAATCGCCGATTAAAAATCCTGTAGCCTTTCGGCGCCAATCAAGCATAGCCTTTGTCAGACACTCAAATATTGCCTCCACACATTTCTTAGATTTTATATTAAAATAAAGCGACGGGAAAAGGCAATGCTTAGACAACTCTTCTCATTACCTTCAATGTACGTCTGTCCTGGTACCCAGTGAATGTTAGCTCTTTTGTTTCTAGACAGTACCTAAACCATCTCTTTACATAGTGGGACAACAGCTTGCTTCCTGCCCCCTGAGACTTTCGCAGGAACCATAGAAGCAATCTGACAAAAGTTCGAATCAATCCGTTGGTGACTTCTGGATATTTTCCGGGCGTGCAAATGAACATAGTACGAATGCTAGATGAAGAGAAGTTGTCGATTACTGAGGAGCTTTCTAGAACATTTGGTTTATCGCACAAGCACGCCAGAAAGTTCGAGAGCTCAGTACGAGGTATGTGAGGTATGTTATGGAGCGACCAACACTGCGAGTAGTCAGTGACAAAGTGAACTCGGTGGCGACAACATCGATGTAGAGTACACCAGAATAAATTGTGTGTCCTTGGAGAATTGTATAATCTGTAAGCTGTGTGAAAATAGTATAATGTTGGAGTTGTAAAATAGTCATCGTGTACAGTAAAGTGAATTTTTAGTTTTTTCTTAGTAGTTTTATTTAAAAATCCCATGATCGAGGCCGAAGGATTTGGAAAATCTTTTGATGCATATTTATTAAAATCATTACAATTTGCAGATATATATATTGTGTATATATTACTTTTTAAAACTTGCGCACTCTTCGAACTATTTTTACGTTTACAGTAAAATCATTGGTTTTCTAAATTCCTACTTTTAAATTCAAAACTTTCAAAATAAAAAACTTTTTACTCACTTTATTCACTTTTTTGATTTGCCCTTAAAAAAAAAACGTATTTAAAAAAAAATTTTGATTTTAATTATTTTATTTTTATTTTAATATTATTTAATTTTTTGTTTTTTGTTTTTTGTATTTACAAACAAACTTCCTCTCCTGACTCCTCAATATCTCTACTTATGTGGACTAGGATTATAATTCTTTTATGCAGATTATATCTGCTTATCCATTAAACATTAACGTCGGTTACATTTTTATGCAAATAAGGGCAGAAAAAACGAACATCAAAGCTTTTACCCCTGCTTCTGCTGTCCATTAAGCGGCTTTTAATCATTAGTTACTCAAAGCTAAAGGATAAAGTCAGTCAAAGCAAAACTCAGACACTTGTCTATACATACTTGCATATATTTTTGCTTATATACATATATAAATTTTTTATTATTTACTTATTTAAACTATTTGTTATATATTAAGGCGATAGTAAATGTTTATTCAACCTTTTAGTAATGATCAATATTAAGCCTTTTCTCCATATTTTCCATCCAAATCAATATTTGTTTCTTTTTTTCTTTTGCTTTTTCCATTCTGCCCTCAAAAGCATGCTTTCAATACAGACTACATTTTTTTTTAGATAAAAACTCAGATTATGTGACCGCTTTGCGATTCCACGGTATTCGCTCTGTTGCTTTGTTTTTACTTCCATGCATATATGTATGTAGCTTGTATAAACAAGAGTATGTATAATAATATGTATTTATAATTTATATATTTACGTATACGCATGTGCTTTATTGGTAAATATCTATTAACTTTGATAAAAAAAAACATATTTAATCGTATGGAATTACCATGAATTATGAATGTCTACATTTTAGTCCCGCCGAGAGCATGGCAAGCTCATACAAAATTTACTAATAAATACCACACGAGTATTTAATGTATACCGAGCCATTAACATGTGTATGCTTGCAGCAATGTCTTGATATCCTTTTCATATTTTCAATGCTATCACATAAATTTTTGTGTTTCGATAAGCTCATTGTGGTGAAAAAGGATTACACTTTTTTGATGACAATTTAATCAAGCTAATTACGACGACTGACCACCGTATATGTGATTACAATGCATGGCATATAATTTAAGATAAAATCAATAAAAAATATCAAAACAAAAAATAAAAAGTTAATCCTTTAATTTAAGAATTTACTCCTTAGAGGTGAATATTAAGAGGGCTTGACAAAATCTTGCAGGATTTCATTATTAAATGGTGCCTTGAGCAGAGATTATGGTGAACATAATTGTCCAAATACTCAAGCACTTTTTAAAGATTTAAATGCATTTGAACAGACTGGACAGTAAAACCTGTGCATCATCATATTTTGCTCGTTCTAACTCCCAAACCGCTACTTGCCACCGAATACTAGAATGAGTTTACTTCCTGATTTTCTCGAGACCTTTGGCTTTCGTATTACCCTCTCACGATTTCCAAACAAAAACTTCTTCGACGGGAAGGCACTTTTCTCACTCGGGTATAAGTAAATTTTCGTGTTTGAAGCTCCGAGAATCCTCAAACAATTGAAGGAAGACCATTGTACCCAATAAAAGCTTTCCGTCTGATGCACTCTTTAGTCCAGAAGTGAGACAACGATCAGACATTGACTTTCAAAGCGGCGCATTATGACGGCATGGCAAAAACATTTTGGACTTGACTTGATCGACTTTGCCGAAATATGGTTGTCTGTAGAACTAGATTCCAGCACAAGGAAATTCACTAAGCTACTTGGCCGTCTCCAGATCAAAACAATCTCAACCAAAGCGATTATGTTATGAAAGAGGCTGATATGTGTGACTATGAGAAACTTGAAAAGCTGGCCGTGAACGCACGAAAATTCTACGAAATCTTACGCAGGACCCAGGAAAATGAGCTAGTGACGGATGCCACGAGTATAACGAATTTACGGAAGGAACACTTCTCCTCCCTGCTAAATGGCAGTGAGAATGAAACACCCGGAGATAGTGACACGGGACCCCAATTGAGGACAATGGAAAAGTAAGGGGCAACGGCTAACGAAGCAGGACTATGACGAGGTTCGAATAGCTATTGCCCGCTTAAAGAACAACAAAGCGGTGGGGACCAGTGGATTACCGGCAGAGCAAATACGCGGTGATGTACTAATCAAATGCATGCATCAGCTTCTCGACGGAACTTAAGTTTTCTATGCCCAAACCACAAAAAAGTCGATTTCACTGTCTGCGCCAACTACCGTCGGATATAACTCTTTTATATCACACATAAGGTCCTATCGAGCGTATTGTGTGAAAGACTAAAACCCACCGTCAACAAGAGCGCGCAAGTTTCGCTTAATCAATTATTCTAAAATAGCAATCATTTCATTTTCAAAAGGTTAGAGGGTTAATTACAACAAAAAAATATTTCAATCCAGAAAACAAAGACAAGCAGCTTTTACAGTCTTCAAAAGCTCACACAAATATTTTCACATTCAAATAATTGCAATTTCTCATCTACAACCAGCATCGCAATGCACTGCGTGAGTGTGATGATTTTTATACGCGGATGTGCACACATCTGCTTCCGGCTTCAAAAACAGGAAATAATAAAATAATGCCGACTTCCGCTCATATCCGGATGCAGCTATGC